GGACAGAGGTAGGGCGACTTGCCCAGTGCAGCTGGCAGGTGACTGGAGGATTTGATCCCGTCCCTCTGGCTCTCGGCCACCTCACTGTCCACTCGCGGCAGCCCCCGGGGTGAGCGGGGCAGGAGGCCAGGGAGCGTGCGTCCCGCTGCCAAGCTGGGCCAGGTTTCTGGCCTTGCTCTGCTGCTGCCTGTTTGAATTCCATCCAATTTTGCTCCCAAACCCACGGCAAAGCCACCCCGACCCCGACCCAGGACAATGGCTGTTTTTTCATTTCCTTCTTCTGTTTCCAAAACTGTTGGCTCAAAGGAGGCAGAAATTGGAATGTGTTGCAGGAAGAGGAAATACTGGGAATAAATAAGGAAGCTTCTTCATATGTCCGCAGCCTAGATGCAAATAACGAAAAGCTGCTGCGTGGTCTTGCGCACGTGACCTCCCCCATCGGTGCCTCAGTTTCCCTTATTGTAAAATCAGGCTAGTGCACAGTTTCTCAGCTTGACATTGTGGACCAGATCATTCTTGGGGGTGGGGGTGGGGGCTGTCCTGTGCATGTAAGATGACCAGCAGCACCCTTGTCTTCCACCCAGTCGATGCAGGTAGCACCCACCTTCCAGGCTGTGACAACAAAAATGTCTCCAGACATTGGCAAATATCACCTGGGGAGCTAAATTTTCCCCACTTGAGAACCACTGGGCTAGTGGTGTTTCCTTCCTTTTATTCTTCCTCCCATCCCCTCCTACCCCACCCTGGCCAATCTCCTCTTCTATGATGAGAACGTTGAATGAGATCATTTGTAAGGTATTCCTAAGGCACCTGCCACTCTTGCTGGTCATGGTGTCCTGTGATTTTGTGGTCCTTGTTGGGGTCAAGGAACGAGCTCAAACCTGCTCCTCCAACCTAGGAAGAAGGTAGCATGGACCATTTTACACATGGGGTGTCTGGGGCAGAGAAGAGGCCAGACCTCACACTGGAGCTGAAGAAGCGGCTGAGACCGCACCGAGGTGGAAGCGGTCCCAGACAAAGGTATCATCTTCAAGTAGCACCCCAAAATGCTTTGGGGGAAGGGCAGCAAGAGGGAGCTACAGAAAGACATCGACTAGAAAGCTGAGCCTGGCCTGCTGTTCCCCAAACTGTTCTGCCTTCCTCCCGGGCTAACCTACATTTCCATCTTCCTTGGCTCTTGGATGTGACTGTGATTGAGTTCTGGCCAAAGGCTGGTGGGCGGAAGAGAGTCACAACTTCCTGGTCCATTAAAACCTCCCACGGGACTTTCTACTCAAAGGATCACCCACCCGCTCCCTCTCCATCTGCCTGCTGGGTGCCAGCACCAGGGGCAGCGTCAGAAGGCCATGGTGAAGGCGGGGGCCTCGGACCCTCGGAGGGGCGGGCACCCCCGCCGCCCACTGAGTGACCTTCGTGAGTGAGAAGCAGGTTTCTATGCCTTAGCCCCTCCTCGTTCGCTCGGGGCTGTCAGTGGAGTCGCGAGCCTACTCTAAGTAGCAGAAGCGAAGGGTCGGATGGGCGCTGCCGGGCTGGGGGTGCTCTCAGCGGCATTTCGTTTGGGGAACCAGAACACTTCCCTGTCAGTTCTGTGGACTAACAATGCAAATTGTGGGCACACAGTTTTCAGCTGAATGAAGCGTGTGACCGACCACCGGAGCCCCACGTGAGGCCGCACCATGCCCCACCTGCAGGCCGCCACGGGGCCACCGGGACGGCTGCAAGCCGTGCGCTGAGCCCGTTTCTTCCAGGCTAAGAATAAACCGCAGGCCCGGAATTCCGGCACACAGGGCCAGCGCGGGGTGGGGCTGGCTCCAGGCTGGTGGAGCCGTCAGCCCGAGCTTGGCAGGGGTCAGTTGGTTTGGGTGGGTCCCAAGTTCCCCGGGCCCTGGGACCTGGTGGCTCAGCACGTCTGGGACATCAGTGTTCCCAGATGCCCCTCTCAGGCAGGGGGTGAGAGGGTTAAAAAGCCAGGGCTGAAAGTTCGGACAAGTTGGGAGTGGTTCCTGCAGCCACAGGTGGGGGCATGGGGACACTGGGCCCTCTGCCTCCCTTTGCTGGGACCAGGGTTGGAAAGGCCTTGGGGAGGCTAAGAATTTGGTGCCTCTCGGAACCAGGCGGCTGTCAGGAGGAAGACTCGAGGTCTTGGTCCTAAAGGACATGGGATGTGTAGTCGGATGGGAGGGAAGGTCCCCTGGGCTGCTTCTCCTCCTCACGCCGCCCAGAGGGTGGGGGTGACATCCAGCCGGTGCCCACCTGCAAGGCTGAACCTGGCAGTTGCACTGGGACCCACGGGGCCGGTGCAGTATGTCGCTGTCACCTGATCAGAGGGTCGCTCTGGCCCCCTCTGGCCCTGACCTCACTCCTGGTGGCCCGGGGTTTGGTGGCTCTGCCCCATTTGGCCTGTGGTCGGGGCCACATCCTCCCATCCAGCTTTAAGAGTAATAAAGCTCAATTTGGGATTGAGGCTCCTCTATTTTTTAATAATTTCAGAACTCGGACAGGAGAGGAGGCTGGTCAGGGGTCTTAGGAACCCCATCAAGCAGTGTAGGGTCTCCGAGGCTGGTTCTGCCTGCCAGCCTCCACCCCGAGGTCCCGAGGCCTGGCTTGTTCAGCTGCCCCGATGCCCATCTTCTGGCCCGTCCGTGAAAAGGCCCCTGGACCGCGCTGCCCAGTAGTCTAAACCCAGCTGTGGTGCCAGGGAGGTGGCCAGTGACCCAGATCGAAGTCAGAGAAACGGGTCCTGACCCGCACAGAACCCGCCCTCCCTCCCTCTTCTGGGGGGTCCACGCATCCCCCAGACTCAGGGACACTGTTGACCCTAAGTGCCCACAGAGGCTGGAGGGGAGCTCTACCCCTCCCCCACACCAGGAAGAGAACATTTTAAAAACCTTTTTATTTAATTAAAAAAAAGACAGAACTAACAACCCCAAACCAGTGGTAGGTACAGGATTCACAGGTGCTTAATTGACGAGACACATGGGGGCTGGTCGGGGAGGGTGGTGCGGAGGGGGCACAGGCCACCCCGTGCCCCTTGGGAACAAGGTCTCAGAATGCCAGGGGCGGGGCCAGCTCGGCCGCCCCTCCCCGGGTCAGCCCCGGCCGAGGGTCCCTCCAGGCCCGGGGCGGGGTGTGGAGAGAGGCCGAGAAGACCCGGGTCTGAGGCTGCCCCCTGCTCTCTGTGGCTTCCACTCTTTCTCGGTCCCTCGAGCGGGCTCTGTGTTCTCTGCCGGGGACGGGAAAGAGGTAGGATCCGCGGGCGCACAGCCTTCTCCGAGGAGCGAGCCGCTTCGGGCTGCGGGCCGGGCGCTGTGGGAGAAGCAGCAGGCTGCCTCGCTTTCGGAAGAGACAGTAGGAGAATCCCGGGCCTTGCTGGGGGATGGGTCCCCATATTTCACCCCTTCCTTCTAACCTGGAAAGACGGTGTCATGGCGTGGAGGGGTGAGGGTGGCCGGGGGCAGGCCAGCTGGGGTGGCCCTCAGCAGGGCGGCCGCGCTCCGCGACCCCCCGCACCCCCGGCTGCACGCGCTGGGACAGACCCGCACAGAGCACGCGCAGGGCCTGGCACGCAGTCCGTCCTGGGGACATGTCCTCCTGGGGGCGGACGGAGGGTGGCAGTGACCTTGGCCGGGGTCTGAACTCCAGGGGCCGGTGCACCCAGGGGTCGTGAGCAGGTGGCTGAGGTAAGAATTTGCTCGTCACTTCCAAGAACGACGGGTCCGGGGTCACTGCTGCAGGCCGGATTCCCCGGCTCCCAAAAGTAAGAAAGGGCCTGTCTTTAGAAAGCACGTGATTTATATAAAAGAGGGTGAGCTCCGTGTTCCACAAAGTGTTTCTTCCCAGCCGGACATGCTCCGTGTTCTCTGGGGGCTGGGGGCAGGGGTGGCTGGGAAGGTGACCGGCAGGGAAGCCGCCTCCTCGGCTCCAAAGCGCTGAGCAGGCCCGGCGAGGAGGACGGGGCCGCGGCGCCCTGCTGAGCCCTCCAGTGCGGGCAGAGCGATGACAGGACCGGGCCGGGGGTGTCCCGCTGCTTCCGGAGGCGAGGGGTGACTGGACGTGCTCTCCTGCCGCTTCTTTGCAGTGACTCGTGATGAATAACCACCTAGGAAACGGACGTCTGTTTTCTGATGTTTGGGTCACGGTTCGGCCTTGGGTCTCCCTTTCTTGCCCAGAAGTTCAGCTCCTGGCGACACCACTGTGTGTGGCATGTCTGGAGTCCTCTTCCCCAGGAGGGACAGAGCTGCTCCTCGGACACAGCCAGGGCCATAGGGCCACCTTTCCCGTGACCCCGGGAACCTTCCGGACGCTCAAGTACAGTCAGTGCATTCTGCCCTTTCTGTGTGAGGCAGAAACTTCCAGAAGCAGTCAGGAAAGCCAGCAACAGACTCTGGCCTTCGCCTCACGCCGGGCCCGCCAAGGCCCCCCGGCCGTGGAGGTTGAGGGGCGCCGGCCCCGGGTCCGAGCACCAGCTGGCCGCAGGGCTTTCTCCTCAGGATCACAGTTACTTCAGCACAGGCCACTGCCAGAGACAGACGGACAGACAGACGGGTGGGGAGACGGGAAGCAAGGGGCAGGCTTCGGCTCCCAGGTTCAGGAACCCAGGTTGAAAAGCAGCTGGGCCGTGTCCTCAGGCCCCCGTGTGCCCAGGCGGGGAGGGAAGGCCCCGAAAGCTCCTTCTTCTGGAAACATCTGTCTCCAAGAGGAGAGAATGGCTCGATTTTGTTTTCTCGGGCTGGTGGAGGCTGGGCAGCCCCAGCACAGCCTGGGCCTCCTGGGGGGTTTCGGAACCCAGGGCATCACAACACCGTTTCGGGGGGTAAGGTCAGCCTCCGGCTTCTGCTTCCAGCCTCCTGGCGCTTTGCTCCGTGCCAGCCCGCGAGGCATCCGGAGACCAGGGAGGGTTGGGTTTGGCTTCGGTCCATGGCGGGCCCAGCTGAAGGGTCCGATGCCCTCATTGGGATCCCAGCAGCCTTTCTGCAGAGAGGCTGGTGCCAGCAGGGCGCTCACACGGGCGTCGTCCGCCGGTTCAGCATGCTGACATGCAAGCCTTCCTTCAGGTCCTGCTGGAAGAAGTCGTGCACCGGCAGGAAGCTGGCCTCCTGGCCTGGGCTGTAGCTGGCCGCGGTGGTCACCTTGAGGGGCTCCCGGGACAGCGTGTACATGGACAACTCGCCCATGGGAATGGCCCCGGCGATCTTCAGGCCCACGGGCGACGTGTCCCTGGAGGGAGAGGCCTCGGTGGACCTGGAGCTGGACCGAGAGCGCCGTCGCCGGTACCTGTAGCTGGGCATCCTGGCGTAGGGGGACGAGGAGGGAGCCTTCAGGAACTCCCGTTTGGTCTTAAACCTCAACTCTTTATTTTTCTCAATGTAAATGTTCACGGCCAGGACGCCCACGGTCTCGGCCACAATGAATGACAGGGCTCCGAAGTAAAAAGACCAGCCGTAGTTGTAATGGTTTTTTTTGTCTTCGTCGCGCTTGTCGCTTGGGTCCCCCGTGTTGCTGGAAATGTAGACGATGATTCCTATGATGTTGCTGAGGCCTGAAAGGGAAGGAGGAGAGGGGGCAGGAGGGGAGAGGCAGAGGTTAGACCCAGAGGGGACAGGGAGCAGGTGGAGGAGGGGCTGTTGGCCACTCCCTACTTTGATGGGTTGCTTTATTCTGGTTTACAACATGTCTTCTAAGTAACTGATTTGAATGGGTAACAGAGTGCAAAGTTCAGATGAGGGACACAATGAAGCAAGGTGGCTGCTGTTATTGTCTTTCTTATATGGTTCTTCTATCCAGCCTCTGTCAGGTCCCTTTCCTTCGTTCTCAGAGGCTGATGGTGGGCAGAGGGTGAGTGAGTGAGTGGCAGTTCCAGGATGGGGGGGCGGGGTGAGAAATCGGGGAGCGGTGGCATTGATAGGAGGAGGGCTGGGGTAACTTGCCCCGATGGCCTTGGGAATGTAGCTGGAGAGGACACTGCCATGTCCTTTGTCCATTTTCCTACTGCCGATCCCAGTGTAGGGGGCAGAGTATTTCTGCTAAGGAGACCAGAGACCCTGCCCGAACAAACCAGATGAAGGTCTTGACCCTAAATATAGGCTCTCTCTCCCAACATCTCCCCCCCCCCACACACACACCATGCTCCTGACACATCTACTTCCCCCTTTAGATACATGTGCACATCCCCCCATATATTTATTGCCCTGGAAGGAAACAAAGCCGAAGGGGTGTAGAAGAGAGCGCACAGGACCTGCCCGGGAGCCCTGCTTCCGCCGGCCTGGCCATGAGATTCGAGCCTGCCCCCCCCCCCCGCCCCTGTTCCATAATGTAAACAGAACTCCTCTTCCCTCTCCAGGAGAAATGGTGAGGAGAAGACGAAATGGGGGAGGAGGCGGACCTGTGGGCACCTACGTGGGTTGGGCACTGCTTGAGTCCCCTCTCCATCCTCAGCAAGGTGGCGCAACCACCCCCATTGCCGGGATTCTCGTGATCACCATCTGGGTACTTCCGGCTGTTCTAGGGGGTGGAGACTGGGCAGAGCTCAGCCCCGTCCCCCACACTGCTCCCCCCACCGGTCGGGTGTGAGAAGAGACACTCTGGAAGTAGAAACACTCTTAGGATGGCGCCGGGAGCTCTGCTAACAACTTGGGACAAGAATCTCTGCGCTCTGTAACCTCTCCCTTATTCACAGGAACGAGGCTAAGAAGTCAGGTGGCCCCTGTTTCTCCTGACAAGGGAGCCTGTTGCACCTTTATCTGAACCCCACAGGTGCCTCCGGACCCTCCAGGGTATACCAGCCGAGCTCTGCCCCAGCAGGCACCCCCTCCACAGGTCCCCAGCGACTCAGGCCAGAGACCTGGGTGCTCGCTGGACTCTGCACTGACCGGCCACTCACCAGCTGTGAGACCGCCTCTGGCCAGGTTTGCTTCCTCGTCTGCAGTGGCGAGACGTGCCCTGAACTGTCTCCATCGAGGCTCAGAGAGCACTAGGCAGGGGTCCTGTTACTGTCACCGAGCTCTGTGGGTTTTCACTGGGTCACAGTGGGGGCTCTGAGGTGTGGTGTCCATCTCTTAGCCAGGAGAGTTGGGCAGTCAGGATGGACAGGGTCTGTCCTGCTCTCTCCTGAGCTCACCCTGCTCCAGGCACTTGGGCCTCTCTGCTTCGTCTTTACCTGGCCAGCTCAGGTCCTGGTGTCTGTGAGTACCTCTGGGTGTCTGACCCCCCAGCTTAGCCAGGCACCCCTGTTATGAGCTTGTGAGCCAACAGTACTGCCCCTTTGTGGCACTTTGCACACCTGGACTTAATTTTTTTTTTCTATCCTCACCCAAGGACATTTTTTGCATTTATCTTCAGACAGAGTGTGAGAGAGAGAGGGAGGAAGAGAGAGAGAGAGAGAGAAACATCGATGTGAGAGAGACACATCGAGTGGCTGCCACCCGCACAACCCCAACCAGGGCCAGGGACAAACCGCAACCAAGGTACATGCCCTTAGCGGGAACTGAACCCGGGACTCTGGTTCATGGGCCAACACTCTAACCGCTGAGTCAAACTGGCCAGGGCTGGACTTATTTTATTATTATTATTTTTTAATCCTCACCAAAGGACACTTTTTTACATTTATCTTCAGACAGAGCAGGAGGGAGGGAGAGAGAGAGAGAAACATCGACGTGAAAGGGACACATCGACTGGTTGCCACCCACACAACCCCAAACAGGGCCGGGGACAAACTGCAACTGAGGTATGTGCCCTGAGCAGGAACCGAACCCGGGACTCTCTGGACCGCAGGCCGACGCTCTGACCGCTGAACCAAACAGGCCAGGGCTGGACTTATTTTTTATGGAGGTGAAATTCACATAACATACAATGAACCCTTTCAGGTACATTCAAGTACACTCACGATGTGCAACCACCACCTCAGTCTAGTTCCAGAACATTTGTCACCCCAAAAGGAGACCCTGGAGCCACTAAGCAGTTTGCTCCCCACACCCTGCCCCAGCCACCCCACACCCGGACATTTGAGGTCAATCACATGCCAGGCTATGCAGTCTGCCCCGCCCCACCGGGACGTGCCCCATGCAGTGGGGGCCAGAGCGGGCGGCTCACCTGCAGCCACAAAGAGGATGCCGGCGCTGAGGACGATGTTGTTCTTGCGGCTGTAGAACCTCCCGGCGCCGATGCAGAGCCCACCCAGCAGGAGCAGGATGGTGCTGAGGATGGGGAAGACGCTGGAGGCACGCACGATGCCTGGCGGGCGGGAGACAGAGTGGAGGGGCCGTGAGACCGGCCGCCAGCACCTGGGCAGGGCCACGGTGCTGGCCGGGGACCCCAAAGACCAGGCCCAGCACCCTGACTTCCCCCAGAGGGAGACCATGGTGCGTTGGGAACTGGGGCGGGTGGGGCAGCTGGGCTGGAGGTAAATGCCGGTGACATGTCGCCCAGATCTTGCTGAGGTTCTTCCTGGGTGTGAATCGTTTTCTGCCCCCGGAAGGGAGGAGAGCCCCTCGGGGGCTGCAGGGAGGCCCCACACAGCCATGAAACACTGGACTGCCTCCCATCCGATGGCACCTCACAGCCCAGCGAGCCCCTTCTTGGTCACGGTTTCCACGAAGCCTCTGGAAGGCTGGGAAGCGACATCCTCACGAGGCAGCCCAGGGGGTGGCTGAGGACACAGGCGTTGGCACTGGGTGGGTGGGTGGGGCACAGGTCCTGCCCAGTGACTGCTGGCTGTATGGCCTTGGGCAAGTCACGTCTCCTCTCTAAAACGGACTTTCCCAATTTGTGAAATACAGTTCATAATGTGCCTACATCCTGTGGTTGGTGCTGTACAAATAAAGGGCTTAGCACGGGGCCTGGCCAGGGCACGAACCGCCCCAGTGACAGGCCTTCTCTCTGCCAGGACCTCACTGTTGTTGTCGCACTGTCGGCAGACGAGGACGTGGAAGCGCACAGCCTCCTGAGGTCACAGAGAAGGAGGCAGCTGGACAAAGGGACACACGTGGGCCATGGTGTCCAACGAAGAAAAAGTCACACCTTTGCTCTGCCACTGTCCTGTTTTATGACCTGGGAGAGTAGCAATACCTGCTGGTAAGGGGTTGAATTGTGGCAAAATCCTGACGTGTCCAAGTCCTAAGCAGCAGTACCTATGAATGTGTGCTTATTTAAAAGTTTTTTTCCTTTATTGATATTAGAGAGAGAGGGAGGAAGGGAGAGGGAGAGAGAGAGAGAAACATCGATGAGCGAGAACATTGATTGGCCGCCTCCTGCATGCCCCCCACTGGGGATCGGGCCCACAACCTGGGCATGTGCCCTGACCGGGAATCGAACCGGCGACCTCTTAGTGCATGGGTTGATGAGTGTGAGCTTATTATTACTATTATTTTTAAAAAGGTACCCATGAATGTGAGCTTATTTTTTTATAAAGGTACCTATGAATATGAGCTTATTTGGAAAAAAAGTTCTTTGCAGATGTGGTTCCATGAAGGGTCTTGAGATGACACCATCCTTGATTAGGGTGGGCCCCAGAGGACAAGTGCCCTGATAGGAAGTGGAGAAGACACAAGGGAACAAGGCGTGGGAAGACAGAGGTGGGGGAGGGAGGGGTGCAGCCCCAAGCCAAGGAGAGCTGGGAAGATGGAGGTGGGGGGGGGGGAGGGTGCAGCCCCAAGCCAAGGAGAGCTGGGAAGATGGAGGTGGGGGGGAGGGGTGCAGCCCCAAGCCAAGGAGAGCTGGGAAGATGGAGGTGGGGGAGGGAGGGTGCAGCCCCAAGCCAAGGAGAGCTGGGAAGATGGAGGTGGGGGAGGGAGGGTGCAGCCCCAAGCCAAGGAGAGCTGGGAAGATGGAGGTGGGGGGGAGGGGTGCAGCCCCAAGCCAAGGAGAGCTGGGAAGGAGGAGGAGTCTCCTCTAGAGCCCTGGACAGTGCCCTGACTGAAGATTTCTGTCCTTCACAGGGCGAGAGGGTGAATTCCTGTTGTTTGAAGTTTGTGGTCATTTATTTATTACAGCAGCTTTAGAAGAAGGATATACCCTGCTCATGAGGGTGGTTTTGAGAATGTGATGGAAGAAGGTTCATAAAGCACTCAGTAGGGGCTTGGGATGTGGGTCCCCTTCCTTAGCATGTGGGGGAGGAAGGCGGGAGGAGGGTAGGGGACGCCAAGAGGAGCCCTGAGCTCTGACTTTCCATGTGCTGCATGTCTCCCAGCCCAGCAGAAGTCCCCTGCGTGGCCCGTGGCCCCTGCCGGGTCAGTGAGTCAGGGCGCTGGCGGCGCCAACCTCCTCACCAGCTGAGCCAGTTGGTGGAGCCTGAGCCTCTGAAGCCGGCGTTTGTCTCCTCTTCTGTAAGCCCCCAGTGTAACCCCGCGCACAGAGAGGGGCTTGTCTAGGGCAGTAAATGAAGCTCTTCTCTCCGCCACGTCCTCTTCCTCCCTCCGCTTTCTTGCAGCCGCGGGCTCCGGGAGGAGGTTCCTGTGGGCTCTGAAAAGCCAGTATCGGGCCCCCTGGAGGCCCGCATCCTGCAGACGGCTCGGAGGGGTGGAGAGAAGGGAGCCTGGTGCCTCTGAGGTTGCTGAGGTCCAGGCCGGCTTTGCATGGAGCTGAGGGGGAGCAGGGCCGATGTCCAGCCCTGTCCGTGGCCAGATCAAGCCCTGGCGCTCTTCCTTCTTATTCGCCCTAAGGCACACCCAGCAGCTCCGGCGTCAGCACTCTGAGGCTCAGCGCAGAAGTCACCCACTAACTGGAAATGCAGAGCCCGGAAAAGGGGTGCCAGGCCCAAGGCAAGATGCTTGGGAGTCCCTGGGGCCAATGGGGCCAGAAGAGAAAGGTGCGCCCTCCAACCCCAGGGCTGCCTGTGGACAGAGCCCAGAGGCTGCCAGGACGCCCTGGGACGGTGACCTACGGCCCGGGGTCTCTGGAGGGCTTCAGAACGCATGGTCGGGGGCTCACTTTGTCCTTCAGTTGTTGCAGATGGGGTGTGAGGAGCATGCCGAGGGCCTGTGGGGGCTGGTGCCCCACACCTGGACAGCTGAGCTGCCTCTCCCACGGGCTCTCCGCCGTCCGCGGTGGAACCTCCTGCGACCTCGGACACGCACTCTCCACGAGAACGGAGCAGCAGGGAGGCAGAGCCCAGTTCATGGCTCTGCCCCACGTGCCCACCGCAGTCCTGGTGCTCAGGAGGCTCCCAGGAGCCCCGTTAAATAGCAAATAAACCAGTTCCCAGGAGCTCATGTCTCCCACAGACATCAGCCCTACAGCTCTCTCCTCTGCGCTCCTACATACTTCCTGGATCAATAGTCTGGACAAAGACCAGAGGACTGAGTCCCGGGGACCGGGCACCCTAGGACGCAGGCTGGATGTCTGCGGTGACCCTGACGTTGCCTACTCCCTCTGGTGCCGAGCGCACAGGTCCCCACGGGCTGGAGCGCCATGTCCGGCCGATTCCTGTTTCTGCTGCCTGGGTGGAAAAGACCCTCCTTGTCGGAGAATCGACTCTGCCCTCGCCCCAGCTCCACCAGCAGCTGGATCACAAGCCCCGACAGTCAGCCCTCCCTTCCTGGAGTCTCGGGCTTGTTAACGGCCCGCTGGCCTCCCTCGTGCCCTCTCGAGGAGAACATTCCTCCCCAAAGAGCTTGCATTGCTGTGGTTGCTGCCAGCACCCTTTCATTTGGGAAAATCAGTGCGGGGGCCCTCCCCGGGGACACCCTGCTGGGGTTTGAGGAGGGCAGGAGGCCGAGGCGGGATGGTGCCAGTGCGTGGCACTCTCGCCTGCCCCTCGGGTCCCCGTGCCATCTGCATCCTGCTCTGTGCCCGGAGTCACTGGCGCCCTGGCCTCTGGCTTTGGGAGGCAGCCCTTTCCGGGCTCCTCCTGCGGCTGCGCCCAGGTGCTGCATTCCCTCCCGAAGGCCGCAGCTCCTGCCCTTCCTGCGGCTCCCTTCTTCAGCTTCCCACGCTGGCCTCCCTGCCCTGTCCTCACCTGGGTGCTCACCCTCCCTGGCAGGTTTCCCTCCGCCTCGCCCACTCTGTCAACAGTCCCGCACTAACACCCTTCACTCACCCTCTGAGCACACCCTCTGCTTCCTGCTGGGACCTCAGGGAGCTCTGGGGACCATGAGGGGACAGGCTCGGGGGAGTGAAGAGCAAGAGCCAGCGCCGATGACCATAACCTCAGGCAAGTTGCAGTGGGAGGTGGCGAAGGTGTGGTTTGTTTCGCCAATGCCGACCCTGCAGTCCCAGGTGGGTCAGTGGGGCAAATCTGCACTCAGCCTTAAGAACCACCTGATTGCCTTGGGCGGGGCAGAGGAGGGCAGGTTCTGAGTCAGGATGAGCCATCGCCGCTGGGCCAAGAACCAGGGGCTGTCCTGGATGGCTGTGCAGGCCACGCACTGTACATCTCAAAGGGTGTCATTTACACCATAGTCTAAGCAAGTGCTGTGCGGTGTGCAAATATCTGTGGCAGCCCTATGTACGAAGCCTCATCTGCTTGGTTTAGTGCTGGCCCCCAGAAAGGAGAAAGAGAGGCCAGGTGGGAGGAAGAGGAGAGGTGGGGGGAGGATCTGGCCACATTGTTTCAGGTTCAGGGCCTGGCCAGAGCAGTCTGACTCTGCCCCAGGCTCCATGGGAACTGGATGGCTCAGAATCCAATTCCTTTCTCTTAGAAAAGACAACAAAAACGATCCACAAGCAGGGGCTGAGTGAACTGTCTCCTCTGAGGCCGCTGGCATCGATTCTCCGTAAGTGAAGCCAGGCCCGAGCTCCTGGGGTGCCGATGTGAGCAACCCCACGCAGCTAGGCTGATGCAGAGGGGAAAGGACTTCCAGGTGGTCCTGCCTTTTCCGTATCCAGGCTCCTTGCCTGGCTGCAGCTCCCTCCTTCCTCCCAGGGAGGCCCAGGATGAGACCTGGGCTTGGGGCACAGAGCTGGGTTGGTCCTAGGGGTTCAGTATATGCTGTGACTTGCTCCATTCTGGGGCCAGCCCAGCCACAGGACATGGGAAGGCAGGGGCTCAGGGGCAGACATGGTGGCCCCACCCGTGGGTGCTGAAAACTCTTAAGGCCCACAGAGAAGAGGCTGCTCTGGCTGCCTTCCCAGCCTTCTCCCCCAGCAGGCTGGCCCCCCAGCAGGCTGTCTGAGTGTGCATCCTAATTTCCAGAGTGGAATGCTGGGGGTGTGGGTGGGGTGGGTAGGTGCGGCGCCGGCCGGGAATGTGCTGGAGGTGTCCCAGTCCCCCAGGGCTGCCTGGCCTGGGCAAGCCTGTGTCTTTAGCCTCCTGGACCCAGACCGAGCTACAGCAACCAGCTCCTCTGAAGCTTGTCACCCCCAGCAGCCTGGGGGGTGGGGACGCCCACACCCTCACCTCCTCTCCCCAGGTCTCCATCTCCCCGGGCAGAGCCTATCGGCCAAGTAATTGCACCGGGATACCCAGCCTGTCATGGCAACATTGAACAAAACCCCACCCTTCGAATCAGACAGGGAGTGACAGGAGCATCCAGAGGGCGGCACCCCCTCCACCCCACAGAGCCCATCATTCCTGCAGCCGCCCACCTGCCACCCGGCTTCCCCTCTGCACACAATGGAAGCAAGGGATTCTCGACACTCACGAAGGAGATACTCCGAGCTGTCGTGGTCATAATCGTTGTCCTCCGGGAAGTGATTGATCCGGAAGCAGCGCCCTTTATAGATCCCTGGGGGGAAAGAGAAAAAGACACTGTGACTGTCCATGGCTCCACTTGCCCGTTCATTCTGGCCCCGGTCACTGCATGTGTGCAGGCTCCGTGCAGGCTCTGGACACGAAGAGAGAAGACAGGCTCAGGCGTCCCCCCAAAGGTTGACCATGTCATTTACAGTCCCCGTCTGAGTTTTCACTCGTGAGAGTGAAAGGATGCACCATCAAAAACTATTCAGGGACAAGAACCCTCAAGCAAAACTGCCCTGGGCAAGCAGGACAGGCAATCCCCGACCCAAGGGGGGCTGCAGAACCACGTCCTAAGAAACGGCAAAGAATTTGCCCCTGGGAACTGCATTGGAGGTGGCCTTCTGGGCAGAGAAGGGAGCTGTGAGAAGACAGGGTTCAGTCAGAGCTCCGTGAATTTGGGGAGGGGGGAGTTTAGGGAGGCTGGAGCTTTGAAGGGTCCCTGCAGGGGGAGGGGCTGGGGCTGAAGAGTGGGCTGGAGGCCATGGCGGGGGGAGGGGCTATGGGTCAAGTAAATCAGGATGAAATCTTCCCCCACGGTGTCTGTCTGTCTCTTTCCCTTTCTCTCAAACACATAGTTATGGTGAGTCCCTCCCCAGGTACACGCTGACTCAGCACACAGTTGGCAACATGATTCCAATCCTCTCATTCAGTGTGATGGAAAGGAGAGAATGTAGAGCAAGAGAAACTTCCAGAAAGGCCGAGGCATCGCCTTCCCGGTCTCCCCTTCCCACTGTGAGAAGCAGTAACTGCAGGAGGGCAGGCCAGTTCTCCTTCCAGGACCTTCCATCCAGCCCTCCCAGCCCCTGCTCCCCTGCGGTCTGGGAACGTCCAGGACAGAACTGGACACGGGTGGAGAGGGGGGTACACAGGGTGTCAGGCCCCGCCCCGCCAGCCAACCCCTCCCCCCCCCCCCGGTCAGCCTCCCTGCTGCTGCGAGGAGCTCGTGTTGACGGCCTGCACAGCCAGCCTGGCCCGGTCCCAGCCGGGCCCGCTTCTCTTCTGCAGCTGCTGCCAAGCACCCTGCTGGCCCTGCAGCTCGGCCTGACCGCGCACATCGTGGGAAGCAGGGCCTGCGGCAGACGTGGCGCCCGGCGCTGCTCTCCCGGCTGCACCCGTCAGCGGGCATCCTGGCTGCTGCCTCCAGAGGGCTGGGGTGCTGGGTAAGGACCCCCACGTCCCGAAGGCCTCCGGAGCCACTGCTGAGTAGGGATGGTGAGGGCTGGTCTCGGCGCCACGTCCACCATGCCCAACTTAGTTACCTGCCCCTGTCTCCTCACCTGCAGGATGGAGACAACCTCAGGCCTGGTCCCCCAAGGATTTCTCACAAGATAATGTGCAAAGGGCGCTCAGAGGGTTCTTGGCCCATGGTGACGGCTCCAGGTGATTCACCTGCTATTGGACCCAGAAATCACCCGCCCTCTGCTCCTGGGGTCTTTACTGTTTCGTGAGGGATTGAGCTGGCAGAGAACCACGTGTTTGTGATCAAGAGGAGACAGCACCAGGGCAGGCTGGGCTCAGGATGGCTGGGGTGGGTGACATGGAGGCCAGAGTGGGCCAGCCGCCCGCCCCCGCTCCCATACCCCGCAGTGGGGTTGTGGAGCTCTCTGCTGTTCGTCTCCCTCCCCTATACTTTTTGGGGCTACTTTATGGAGCTAATTACAACCACCACGTCCCACACGCCTGTTGGAAAGTCCAATAGCAAGAGGTTGGAAAGGAAAAAAAGTAAATCTCTCTCTTCAGACTCGTTTTCCAGAGGTCAACAGTCAGTCCGCTGGTCACCTCCCTTTGTATGTGAAATCAACCCCTATTTTAAAAATAAATTAAACTTTATACTTGCAGATAATTGTAGATTTACACACAGTTGTAAGATACAATACAGAGAGGTCCCATACACCCTTTACCTCGTTCCCCCCAATGGTAACATTTTGCAAAACGGCAGTATCTCAGCCACATACTGGACATGGCTACAGCCCACCCCCACCAAGACCCCTCATGTTGCCCTTTATCTCACACACAGCTCCTGCCCCAGCCCCTCCTCCACCCACGGTGACCACTAGACATTGTTTGTATGGTTCTGTCCTTCCAGGAGTGTTCTATAAATGGAACCACCCAGCAGGTGGCCTCTGGGGACTGGCTCTTTCTCCTCAGCACACCTCCCTGGAGATTCATCCGGGTTGTTTGTCAACAGCTTGCTCCTTTTCACGGCCGCGCACTATTCCACGGCTGTGCCCTGGCTCTCGGCATCTGCACTGTTTCCAGCCGCTCCTAGCATGCTGCTGTCGACATTCACGCGCAGGCCTGGGGAGGAACCCCGGCTTCCGCTTCTCTGGGACGAGTGCTCAGAAGAGCAAACGCTGGCTCACACGTGAGCTGCCTGTTTCGTTTCACAAGGGGCTGACACGCTGGCTTTGGGAATGCCTGTATGTTTATTTCAAAAATAAAATTATACTCTGTCGCCACCTTTCATTCAACAATATGTACAAACATCTCTCCAGGTCAATACCTATAGATCTTACTTTTAAGAAAACCTGTTTATTATAAATAAAATACCATAAGTTGATACTAATCCGAAAGTCGCTGAGCACCCTCGAAGGAAATGAATAGCACGGGACCAGGGGAATAAATCTGCTCCAATATGGATAATGCTAAACGGAAAATACGCTTTGACAGAAAGAAGGAGATCATATATTTATAAGATCGATCGGACAATAAAACTCAGGCTTTGAAACGTTTGCTTGAGTCTAAACTAGCCTGTTCCCAATCTCCTCCAGTATATTTTGCTAACCTCATCTCTGCATCGAGGGGGCTATTTCACACTCAACAGAAACTGTAGAAAGGAATCACTGTCTAACATGTTAAGTCACTTTTAGCGGCTGCATAACCACCCCCAGTTATGGGTTATCAACGACACCGCAGCAGTAGGGTCCCCTTTCTCGGGGCTGTGTGCACACTCTATGGATCCCGCCACGTGGAAGGAAGCTAAGACACATGAAGGCATTACTCTGAGGTCACTCTGCTGCCAACCCCTTTCATTTCCTTTCTTCTTTCCCCCTGCCTCAGCCCCTCAGCCCGACCCCAGTCCCAGTCTAAAGAGGTGGGGCTGTGGAGCTGACAGTCCAGGAGAGAGAGACTGCTCCCTGCCCCTCGAGTCAAGAATTCAGGTATTTCTCCTAAATGAATGTCAAACATCTTCCGTTCCTCCAGCCATTTCTTTCTTTCTTTCTTTTTTTAATCTTCACCTGAGGATATTTTTCCATTTATCTTTAGATAGAGTGGGAGGGAGGGAGAGACACATTGATGTGAGAGAGATACACTGACTAGCTGCCTCCTGCACGACCCCAACCAGGGCCGGGGACGAACAGCAACTGAGGTGTGTGCCCTTGACTGGAATCGAACCTGAGACCCTTTGGTAACACTCTAACCACTGAGCCAAACCAGCCAGGGCCCTCTGGGCATTTCTTTATTGATGGTTCCAAGACCCTTCTCCAGCCTAGCTCCCTCCTCTGGGTCAGCGCCCAACTCAGTGCCCAAAGCACAGCACCCACCGAAACCCACGCTCCAGGTGGGCCCTGCCCCCTCCTCCTCTCTGGACCCTGTGCTCCTGTTAATGGGACCAGGTGTTCCTGCTGACTCAGCCTCCCCGGACTTCTTTGCTGGACTGTCTCAACTCCCACAACTTGTTCTTGTTGAGTGCGGTGTTTAGTCCTAAGGACGTCACATTCATCGAGGTCAAATTGAATTCTGTGAGCTTGGCCCGAGGCATCGAATAGGGAGACAATTAATGGCTGATGGGAGAAGTAAGAGAAAAAGCCGTCTCTAATCCACTTCACATGTGTTCTCTCCCCGTGAACGGGCCATTGGCCATGTGATGTATTAAGTGATATTTAGGGCGGTTAACTCTGAAATCCAGGACTGGCCACACCGCGGGAACAGAGGCGCTCACTGGCCTGTGTGCCCAGAGACACGGTGTCTCTCTCCTTCCTGAGGGTCAGGAAACCTCTGGTGTGAGGAGACTTCATCAGTCATGCGGGCCCAGGAGTTATTTCTTCATCTACACAACTCGGGAGCTGGGCCAGAGGGAGCCCTCCTGCCCGAGGGTTCTAGGAGCGTCTGTAGAGAAGTCTGGGTGCTGCATCATGAGCCACACCTGTGCAGGGGTTTCTATAGGCACAGGACACAGCTGGCAGAACCACCGTAATGTGTGTGTGCTGTTTTATTTCTGGGTGATCGGGTTATGAGCGAATTAAAATTCTCTTCACATTTTTTCTGTCGGGTTTTCTGTGATGTGTGTAAATGAACCGATTAGGCATAGGAAAAGAAACCGAACCTCCGAGTCTGAGTGAAAATGTGGGGTGTGTCTGAGATGAGCACAGACCCACTTGGACGTGGAACCAGGTGAGTGGGATGGGAACTGTGGGGCCCGGAGGGTGTGTGGGTGGCATTTCAGCCTCTGGTGGGTGAGTGCCCCCCGCCCTTCCGCTGGGCTGGGATGTCATGCCCTGGGGTCATGCCCTTATCTGTAGCTAGGATGATTGACTCCTAGGTCTGGGGGGGAGGACACAGGACCTTTGGTGGTGAAACCAGGCAAGTCCCAGGCACACCAGGATGAGGTGGCCACTAGGGTCACTCCAGGGCACACTGGGATGAGGTGGCCACCAGGGTGCCTCTGCAGTGGGCCACCTCTGAGGTCTGTCGTGATGAAGGGAATCCTGGAGAGCCCTGGCTGGTTTGGCTCAGCAGTTAGAGCGTCGGCCTGCGGTCCGGAGAGACCCGGGTTCGGTTCCCGCTAAGGGCACGTACCTCGGTTGCAGTTTGTCCCCAGCCCTGGTTGTGTTGTGCGGGTGGCAGCCACACGATGTGTCCCTTTCACATCGATGTTTCTTTCTCTCTCTCTCCCTCCCATTCTATCTGAACAACAAAATGGAAAAATGTCCTCAGGTGAGGATAAAAAAAAAAAAAGACTGTTAGAGGGAGAGGTAACAATAATGG